CTGACGAGGTCAGAAGACCGTTGGCCTGATGCGTTTTACGCGGGCGCGGTAGTGGTGGAAAGGTTGAGAATGAGTAGATTTGGCAAGACAAGCGAGAGGATTGTGGAAAGTGACGCATGGTGTGAGTAGCGTGCGAGTGTGTTTGTATCGCGTGATGTGATGCTTAATTATGGGGTAGAAACTGCTAGGCACGGTATGGGACGTGCCCAAGTGGTTTCTGTCTTATAATTGAGGCACGCGCGCGTCTGTGATTCCTTGCTGTGATGTGTTGGCTGTGTTATTGTCTAACGTGCAGGAACGTGCGTGATGGATTCCAGGTAGGGTCGCATGTGATTGTTAGTTTGGCCGATCGTTGTGTGTTATGTGTGTTTTCGTCTGGCGGTACGTGAGTGCCTACGTGGGGTTTGGGGTTGTACACTTATTGAGATTCGTCTCACGGTTGTATAACCGCCACTTTCAGACCCCCGGCCCTAAACCCGGGAAGTGCGCCTTTTCTTTTGGAAGTCCGGGAGCTGCTGTTGGTGCCAGTGGAGCGCAGTGAGTTCCGAGTTTCAAGCCAGAAATTGAAGCGGGATCGGACGAGGGCGATCCTTAGGTTTTTCCCTAGGATGTTTTAGGGGTTGTGTAAATCGGGTTGACCCATAGGGAAGTTAAGTTAACCGGACCTCGATCTTTTGTTTAAACGGTGACTGAGGATGTTAGTCTGTATTTATGTCTGGAATATGATGTTTGTATATTTGGTGTTGTATGAATATGTGGTTGCTTGGATTGTTCTGTTGTTCTACCCCGTTGTCGTCATTATTTGTCCGGGGTTTTATTATTCGCTTCCGCATGTGGCTCTGATGTTTGGGTTGGGTCGGCGACGTTCCTGGGACGTCGCATCATTTCGACCGGAGCAGGGGATGTCGCGAGCTCGATGGGGTTCGGGGCGTGACACTTCGTCTGTTCCTTTATTCAATGAAATGAAATTCTCTAATTGGAGTGAACAAGTCTAGTTTCACTTAGGTGTTCTGGATCTTGATTTAGCATTTCAAGTTGAAGAACTGATTTTTATCATTGATGAGAGTAGCGATGATGAAAGGTCTTTCCATAAACCTTGGGAAAGATCGAACAAATTAAGTTTAATGTTTATGTGAATGACAATTGCAAACAACTTAAGTAATGGACGTGGAGTCGTAGTCTGCTCCTAGTAGAGATTAAGCCATGAATGCATGTGTTGTATTGGAATAATAATATTGAGAGGTTTAGGGTTTTGTGATAGGGAAGAAGGAGGACGAGGACGAGGACATACTAAGTTAGATTGCAGTAATATTATGTGCCAGTTAATGCATGTGTTGTATTGGAATAAGTGACTTTCACTTTAATTTCAAGGGATAATTACCAAAAACATCGTAAACTTATTGCATTTATGTCACTTCAATCCTAAACTTTTTAATTTGAGCAATTAAATTCTAAACATTTTAATAATTTGCCAATATAGTTCATCTGGTCAATTTTGCCCAGAATTTGCAGATGTAAATGTAGATCATCCTGCGTGGCATGACCAACGCTGACATGAACAATTTTTTTTATTTTTTACTATTTTTCTATTTTTTATTAATATATTTTTATTTTTCCTTATGTTTATTATTTCTCTTTTTCCTTCTTTTCTTTTTTGTTTTTCACCATGGCTGGCAAGGGTCGCCGGAGCTCGTCGGCCGCTGGGTGAGGGCCGTGAAGTCCTCACCCAGCCACGAGCGAGGCCAGCCTCGCCGTCCATTGGTGAAGGCAGCCTCACCCACTGCTGGTGAAGCTCGCCCGCGACCGCTATGGCCTCCCCCAGATCTAGGCGAGGCCAGGCGAGGGTTGCCGACAGCCAGCGAGGGCTTCTTAGTCCTCACCCCGTGGCCGGCAAGCTCCAGCAACCCTTACCAGTCACAGTGAAAAACTAAAAAGAAAAGAAGGAAGAAAGAAAGAAAAGATAAAATAATCGAAACAATAATCAAAAAATATTTAAAAATTAAAAAAAAAATTGTTCACGTCAGTGCTGGCGTGCCATGTAGGACGGCTGGCATCCACGTGAGCGATTTCAAATCAAAATTGATCGGATGAATTACATTGGCAAATTGTCAAAATGTTTATGATTCGGTTGGTCAAATTAAACAGTTTAGGATTGAATTGACACATATGCTATAAGTTTATGACTTTTTTGGTAATTTTCTCTAGAATTAAATCCCATATACATGACAAGGACAATAGGGATAGTACTTCTCCCTAATCGTTAGGCTATCATTTATCATACAAAGATTATAGGATTAATACCATGAAAAATCCTAAACTGGTATATATATGGTAAATTTACCCTAAATTAATTTTTGACCACAAAAAATCCAAAACTGGTATACCTGTGATAATTTTACCCTCCGTTAGTTTTTGTTAAATTTTACCATCAAATTTTTGAGTTGGATGACACGTGACAGTTAATGGATGTACCAGTTTGGAGATTTACCAGGTGTATGGATTCGTAATTTTTCGTGGTATTAATTTAATTTAATGAAAGGTAAATTTATCACAAATGTACCAGTTTGGGGTTTTTGGTAATCAACAAATTAGTTTAGAGTAAATTTGTCATATGTGTACCAGTTTGAGGTTTTTTGTAGTGAAAAAATTAGTTTAGGTTAAATTTGTCACAAGCATACCAGTTTGGGGTTTTTCATAGTATCAACCCAAGATTATATTCATAGTTTCGTGAATGAAACTTGATAGTGGGAGAGTTTTAAAAATTGGGTATTATGATTCGAGTGAATATGATTATACAATCTTGAATGAATCTACAGTCGTGAAAGTTCGGTTGCCTCACATCTACATTTCTCATCATTTCTCTTGTTTATAAGAGTGAGCATGGTTTTAGGGTAGAACATGAGAACCTGACGGTAGGAATATGTAGGTTCCAGGTTCCAAGATATGCATGGTAGGTTCTAGGTTCAAAAAATTAAGGAATTTATTTCGACGAGTAGGTTCCAGGTTCCAGGTTCCAGAGTAGGTTCCAGGTTCTAAGTAGTGGAATCTGGAACTTGGAATCTGAAACATAAATAAGTTTGTTGTGTTTTTTCTTGGTCTACGTCTTCACGTGATTCTGCGATGTTTCTTAGCGCTAAATGATGAGTGTATAATCTGGAACCACTAGTCTGAGCTTTCATTTTATGACTTGTTAATATTTCATATTCTTCTTATATCTAAATATAAGTTATGGTCAGTGGATAATAGCAGCAAGTGGTGGTTATTAAATGTGATGATTCACTACAATTGTTCAATTACTAATATAGGCGGAGTTTAGGTAGACCCTAGAATCTGTGATAAGATAGGTTCCAAGTTCCAAAAAATGATGAATATATTCTCATGGGTAAGTTATAAGTGGACTGTACAGAACATAAAATCGCTTACCCCTAGTATCAATTCACGCAATGACTTCTCATTTTAATTGTGTTTATTTGAATCGTAATGCCAAGAAAACTAGTCTTTTATATTCTCTTTGGTGAATAACAAGCTTGTTCAATATTGTTACGCTCATTTTTGTTTTGTTTAACTAAAAATGAAATAAAATAGAAACAGAACCTGTTAAATCCTGAAATTTGTGACAGGGTAGGTTGTAAGTTCCAGGTTCCGACGAGTAGATTTTAGGTTCCAAAAAACGAGGAACTTGTACCCAAGGGTAGATTTCAGATTCCAGGTGGAACATATAAGGAACTTGGAACTGCTCATTCTTACTTGTTTATCTACAGGGTTGAGACGACGATCCTACTGCTCCAATTTCAAAATAAAAAGAAGAAGATTTCTTTAGCTACTATGACGTCCAAGACCCTATCCTCTCTCTCTCTCTCTCTCTCTCTCTCTCTCTCTCTCTCTCTCTCTCTCTATCTACAGGGTTGAGACGACGATCCTACTGCTCCAATTTCAAAATAAAAAGAAGAAGATTTCTTTAGCTACTATGACGTCCAAGACCCTCTCTCTCTCTCTCTCTCTCTCTCTCTCTCTCTCTCTCGTTGCAACTTATATAGGTAGTCGTATTGATTCGTTCTCAATATTAATTTATCTGATATGTTTCGTGTTTTCTTAATTAAATTTAATTAAATCTGTGTGTTTTCAAAGCTCTACAATTAATGATCCAAAAATTTAATATTTTTTACAAAATTAAAAAAACATATATCTAATTAAATTTAATTAAGAAAGTACAAATTACAAAACCTTAAAAATTTTATCATTTTAAAAAGTTAGGAACAAAGATTCGATTGATATAAGTACAAGTCTAGATATCCTTACGAAAACATTTAAACCGTGTTTGGTCGTCTAGATTTTTAATCGGGATATAATATGAAATGTACATAATTTCCCTTGTTATAAAATTTCTTACAGTTTATATAATTTAAGGAGATATAAGCGAGTAGCTCAAAGGGGGAAAAAATAAAATGAGGTGGTATACGAGCGTAATGTCAGAGATATTAAGCTAGTTTATCAAAATCCACGGAGAGGTGTGACTAAATTCATTTTGTAGTTCTTGAATTACATATTGTTTTTTTATGTATATATATATACATACATTAATTCAAAAAAAGAGCACACCAACTCTACCTTGAGTGACAATTCTGATTTAAACTTTTTTCTGTCTCATAAAAATCTTCAATTTTCACTTTAATCCAAAATTTGATCCAAATAATTTGAAAATTTCACATTATAGGGGTAGATATAGGACTCGAGTAAAATTTGATGCTCTTTATTGAGATAAAAAAAAGCTCGGGTCAGAATTGTCATTCAACGTTAAGTCGGTGTTTTTTTGAATTAGCCCTATAATATATATATATATATATATATATATATATATATATATATATGCGCGCGCGCGCGTATGTGTGTGTGTGTATGTAGTTATTTTCAATAGTATCTCGGGTCGGGCAGAGCTAATTCAGGCTTTTGGGCTCTCCGGCCCGGCCCAATTTGGCCACAAAACCCGGCGGACTCTGCAGAGCCATCAGAGCAGCGACGACCGGCGAACGCTTGGCGGCCCAGCCTCTCCTCTGAGCTGAAGCTTGCGGTAGCCGCCGTCTCGAAGGGTTTTAGCATCCGCCGAGGAAGTCGCCGGGTTTCTCTCTCTCTCGCTCTCTCTGATATCTACTATGTATGTGTTCGTGCGAGGATGTTCTTGGTCTTCTTCTTTGTTCCTGTCGGCGTTTTCGTCTGATGCCTGTTTTTATGCGGTGTTGCTGGATCCAGAGGCGAAGGGAAGGGGGAGAAGATGCAGCGGTCGCTGTCGGCGCTGGCTCGGCCGGCGCGTGGGTTTTGCACCAAGCCCGAGAAGATCGTCGCGTCCGTGCTGTTCGAGAGGTTGCCCGTCGTCGTCCCGAAGATGGACCCCGTGGTCTACGCATTTCAGGAGTTCTCGTGAGTCACTACACTTACTTTACTCTGTTTCGGAGCTAAGGGATGATGCTCGTAGTAGCAGAGCCATTTTGTCAACTGGGTAGTCTTTTGAATTCGTTTTCTTCTGAAAATGAAGTATTTTGGCGGAGGGTTGGTTCAGCTAAATGCTCCTTGCTTCTTTACTCGCAAATGAACTGATGGTCATCTCAATCGGCTCCAAGATTGGCGGGGATTTATTTCGAGACTAACATATTGAATTTTACCTTAGCACTTTGCAGCTACATTCCAATTTCTCATGATATGTAGCTTTAAGAGAGTGAAGATTCGACATTTCCTTATTCATTCTTACTTTAAGCTGAGAAAAAAATGGATTCACACGGCTCCTGGTGGATGCTAATTAGGGGTTTTCGCTTTTGGGACAAATTCGTTGGGAGACTTGAGTTTGGGGACCGGGGTCTGAATCAGTAAGATGGGCTGGTGACTGGAATGAAAAATGTTTGCTAATAATATGTGTCGGTTTTGCTTGTTTTTCATTTGTGCTTAGATTTCGTTGGTGTCAGCAGTATCGGAGGAGATACCCAGATGAGTTTCTAGACAAGTCTAATGCCAGGTACATTTCTTTATACATTGATTGAATCATTTCGACCTAGTGTTGTCTTGTTAGCAATTAGTTCTGGCTTGCTAGTTCCTGGTGTAATGGCAAATCGGCAATTGTTTCTCGTTACTTCCATTGACTTTAATCTGATGTGCACCTGTCTAAGTGAATTATTTTGACATTGTGCTTGTTGCTTGTCATTCATATGCCCCTTTTTTTTGGTACCTAAAGTCTTATCTGGGTTTGTGAAATCAACATCTTCGTCTATGTTATCCGTATAATGTCTCTGAGACCTAGCTTGGATAGTGTTAGTTGTCTGGTGAACTGACTTCTTGTTCGGTGTCTTTGGGCTTAAACTTCAAACCAATATGCTGATATCGTTAATCTTGTAAAACATTGCCTCCTCAACATGCATAAACTTTGAATGAATTAGTTCGAGGTATTTAGTCTTGGTGACAGTTGACGCACTTTCATTCGATATTTCTACTATTCATGTTTTTTTTAAGTATATAATTTTCTTTAGTGGTGCTTTTACATCGTTTAATTATAGTTTCAAAAGAAAATTACTGCAGAGGCTTGCTAAATAAATAAAGAAATATCTAAATGTTTGAGCAAGCTCAATCTACGGTTACAGAATTGCCCACACCCCCCTAATGAGGAGATGCTGTAAAGTAGAACTATGGTGAATACATGGAGCTGAAACTGTGGTCCAGTAATAATTGCATCAAATGCTACTGTTAAGAGAATTTCCAAATCCTCCTTTTTATTCATGGTCCCCTTAGAAGACTTAAGAGACTAGTCATTGACGCAAATTGTGATTATCTTGAACTCTGCGAGTGCCAATCTCTCTTGACCTATTTTATGTCATTTTGACCCCTCTCGTGAGGCTTGAAGCTAATCGGCATAAATTTATTTCGAAAGTTGAGTGGCAAGTTCTCTTTATCTATTATTTGTCTTTTTCAGTCTCTATTGTAAGGCCTGAAGCTAAATTGTCATGTACTTTCTTTTTTCCATTAATATGTGGGTTTGCTAACTGTTCAATGTTTTACCACATGATCACAGATAGTGGCCCGTTCTCTCTCTGGGTCATTTGATTTAATCATGGTTGTGGTAGCTGAATCGAACGCATTAGTTGCTTGGAAGATTACATTCTTATTTTTTCTTTTGTTTATCATTGCTCTCTCTCTCTCTCTCTCTCTCACATATTATTGAACGATCCATCAATTTTCAATTCACAAACTTTGTCCTCTTCTTTCAACTAGGGGAAAAGGTGATTACCAGATTGACTATGTACCATCTCCTCGGATCACTGAAGCTGACAAAACAAATGATAGAAAGTATGGAGATTCCTATGCGGTGCATGTTTGATGCTGTTACTGGTATTTGTTGGAGTAGAATAGTCCGTGTTGCTTTTCTTGGATATCTTTTATTTTGTTTCTTTGAGTGGCATTCCTCAATATTTGTCTCCAATTCTTTTGGGCCTTCTTTGCTTTTGTGGATCATGATAGACCTCTAAATTAATATCCCGTTTGGGATAGTCTACGCGTGGTACTAGGATTCCTATGTGAAACTCCTTTCTGCATTACAGCTGTGTAAAATGGAGATAAATACTCTTGTACAGGGGATTGTTTCTTTGATAATGAATTTATATATTGTGAACTACACAGGAATTGTCTGCATGAATTCTCGATTTGCTGGTTTTCTTCGGACATTGCAAACTCTTTGGTGATGAAAAACAAGCAAATATGTTCTGTTGTAAAAAAATGTGGTCCAATTTGGTCGTACTTAATGTTCTGTGATGAGAGGTTGGTATTGATAATAAGTTGAATATGACAAACAATGCGATGGGTGTTCCTTTTATTTCCAGATTGTGGGTTCATTAACTAGTTTGGATCTTATATTCTGAGATCAAAGAATGTTTACTGTTAGAATCAGTTATATGATGATATAATAGGCATTTTGGGATCTACTTATTTTGCATGCCCTCTTATGGCACGTGTCTGTTTAAATGTATAATAGGTCTTTACAAAGAGCGCTAGACAGGAGATTGTATCTTCTTCTTTATGGTAATGCGTACAGTTCTCCTGCTGGTGATCCCGCCTGGCATTTTCCTGAAAAGGTTTATGAAACTGAGGAGACATTGCGCAAGGTGGTGACCAAAATTTGCATCATCTACATTTCTTCCTCACTTATCTTCCCTTCTCTCACAGTGGCTCATTTCTCCAGTGTGCAGAGTCAGCACTGGAATCTGTCTTAGGAGATCTGTCACATACTTATTTTGTTGGAAATGCTCCTATGGGTCATACAGTCATACAGCGAACAGAAGATTCAGTGGAAGTGCCATCTCTTAAGGTATGACTTTAGTTCAGCAGACGAACAAGCACACGAATTTATCACAAAGGAATATCTATATGTATGTTATATAGTCCGTTTCTGCTGTAGAAATGATATACTGTCCTTGTTCTGGAAGAACTTGAAATAGAGATTACTTAGCCTTCGGTTTGCTGATTCTTCCATCTTTTTCAGAGATTCTTCTTTAAGTCTCAAGTTATTGCAACAAACAAGTTTAACATTCAGAAGTGCAAGGATTTTGTTTGGGTCACCAAGGATGAATTGCTGGAGTATTTCCCGGAGCAAGCCGAATTCCTCAATAAGATGATCATTAGCTGATGCAGTTCTATAGTCTCGTAGTTAAGCAAAATCCCTTTCAAGAGTATCTTCTCTGATTTATCTTACCCATCCTTATTTTTTATTTGAGCTGACGGACTGATGGTGTTGAAAAATAGGATATTCGGCTCCAGCGAGAGATTTTTGCTAGACATTTAGGATTTTGTTAAGTTTCCTGTTCACATTTAGTAACCTTTCGATCTGTTTATAGGGGGCCAAAATTCGTCAAGAGACGAGACGTGGCTAATGCTGTTTGATCTTGAGTTGAGCCTTGATCTGTCGAATAAAAGCATCAAAGATTTGTTGTTGTTGTTGTTGTTGTTTTTTGGCTGGGTAAGTAGTGAGTTTTATTGACTTCATAAACCAAAGCAGAGGATCTCTGCTAGAGAAAATGTTCAAAATGCGACAAATCTCGTATGGCATCAACCTCCAGCTCCTACAAATGGCTATTTGCTGAGGAAAACTGCACTCCAGGCAACCTTGAAGATGAGACAGGGAAGAAATTTGCCTTTTCCAAGTATTACATGCCCATTGCAACTCAGAATCCCAGTTGAGCAAGGCCTCTATATATCCCACATCTCCATCTTGCTCCAGACCTCCTTGGCAATTTACACTCCATAAACAATTGATTCTTTGATTCAACACCAGCAACCCACATCACATAAATATCGTTGACAGCAACCGCACACGAATATCATCCTATCCTTAGTTGAGAGCTTGTTCAAATAGCAAGCCAGCAAAATCAGTATACTGATCTGACCAAAAAAAAAACAAATCAGTATACTGCCAAAATACTCTGCTTGCTCTAGCTCTAAAAGAACTCCATGCTGTGTTGACTGAGAAATTGCTTTGAAGGAGTTTCCTTCCATAGCTCCCTAAATATCTGCTTGCTCTGCGTTAGGAGAAATAAGCCCACCAAATGCTGATTGAATCGATAACATATCATCTAATCTAGCAGCTGCTCAATTCCACCTTCCATCCTCAATAACTTCTGCTACTATAACTTGCAGAGATGAGCCCTAAGTATGGACAACTCTAGCAGAGAACCTATTGAGCAAGATAGCCCCACAGGATGCCCAGAATCAAACCATAGAAAGAAATCTTTGCCATCACCTACAACTTATGGTATCAAAGGGTTAATATCAGCTCTCAAGTTTAAGATTTTCACCCCAGATATAAGAGGAAGAAGTATTGATTTCTGCCAAAAGAGATTTCTAGTTCATACACCCTCTTTTGCACTTTCAGGTTCAGCTACGTTGTCGGACACTTGTTTTCGAATACTGAACTTCAATTATTCTAGTCTGTATCCTCAGGTATATTGATCCTCGAACGGGAAGATATTTGGTACAGAACTGTCAATTCGTATGGAAGAGAGTGTTGCACTAGCTTTTTGGTTTGTATTGGCTGTGTCCTGTTCTTTGTATCACCTCTTCTTCCGAGGTTAATCTGCAAACAAAACCTACTGCGTCGAGATAGTATGGTCGTAATGGGCATTTGAGCGCCTGCCACCGAATCAGACTTGCCTTGACAAGATGAATGGAGAAACTCAGTGCAGAAGAGCGACGACTAAATGATCTGTTTCTTGATTTGCTTTCTTGTTTCCTCTTCACCTGTTCTGATCTCTAAGTTCGAATAAGCTCCGAAAGATTGCACTCTTGCTGTACTAGCAAGAGTGCCAACCTGCTTTGTGCTTTGGGAGGATCCACACCACTCCCATGCCCGCTTGTGATATGTTTGAATCATCATTTCTGATCCATTTCTGCCATATATAACGCAAATTTGAAAGACGAGTTCAACCTCAAATTTTTCACGTAAAATTCAATGAAATCCTAGTCAAGTTATTGAGGTCAACTTTTATTAATCATTTTTAAATCATAGATAGAGTCATAATTCAAAAGTTAACAAAACAATCAAAGGGGCCACATCAAATGATTATTCGTTTCATTTTATTATATCGAATAGCTTCATGAGCTATTTTACCTGGGTTCGCATTAAGAACTCCTCAGCCAACCTCTGGTATCTTACAGACAAGGCCAAATTCATTAATCCAAACATATACTCGGTCACAGCAAAAATCGCCCTCAGGTTCTTTTCCCATTGGTATCAGCGTGCCCGTCACGTATGGATTGTCCTTCTCGATTGCCTTCTTTGCGTTATCTCCACTCTGTCCCATCAACTCGGGCCACTTGACTTTACCCCCTACAAGCACTGCAATCAATCCTTTGTCAACCTCGACCTCAGATTATGCCGTCGAAACTCAACTAGTATTGCATGCCTTGTCGTCTATGCATACTACTAAATTTCACATGCTCGAATATTCAAATAATTAACGGCTCAAATTATGAAAAGCATTGATGTAAATTAACAATATTGTATGCTAGAAATATAAATATAAAAATGAAAAAAAGGGACATAAGCCTTTTGGGGGCATACGAAGACAGCATTCGAGGGTAGTGCATCCGCGATCATCACAAGGTGGGTAATGGTGTTTTTTCTTATTTGTCTCCATGCTTCTGACCTTCTTTGTAATAAAGCAAGATGTAAATTGTATGAAGTGTTGTAGCAAGCACAACCCCTTTTTATACCCATTTTCGCATATTATACGCAATAAATACCTTGACTACTTTTATGAGATCTAAGAGAAAATCTGGCTATAATGACTCTCGTTGAATTTGATGAGATTCACCAGTTTTAATGATGCACAACACTTTATACACCCATTTTCGCATATTAGAGGAGTAAATGCTTTGACTACTTTTATGAGATCTAAGAGAAAATCTGGCTTTAATGGCTCTCGTTAAATTTTATGGCATTCGCCAGTTTTAATGATGCACAACCCTATATATATATATATCCATTTTCGCATATTATAGGCAGTAAATACTTTGACTACTTTTATGAGATGTGAGAAAAAATATGGCTTTGATGATTCTCGTTAAATTTGATGGGATTCACCAGTTTTAATGAGGCATACGGTGAACGGTGCATCCCCTCCTCTCATCCCAAAAATGCAAAACCACCAAAGACAAAGCATGGGGTCTTCAGTAATATGACAAGGGACCGATCAACCGGTCACAGGTACATGCATTTTTATATTAATCTTATGACGTGTTGGATAATTCAAAAACCAATAGTGAAATCTATGAAATCATTTCGGTGATCATAAAATCTTGTTAAAGTATTTAATGAGTTCTCTGGGTGAATGCAGAAGGAGTATCGCGTGATAAAGATCTTCTGCAAGTCTGTCCTATCTCAAGTGATCAAAACTAATGGAGATATCAAAGGGAAGTAATAGAACATTAGAAATTACTATGAAACTAGAAAAATCACGTGCCTTCGATTTGTCTTCTCTGCTTCATACATCTTATATTCTCCACTTAAAGTCTCTCGTCTCCACTGATGACAGACCCTGCATTCGCCAAGAACGACGTTCTAACCACCACGAGTGAAGTTTCGAGCATCATGAGCACAGTTTCTGCATCGGACGATCGGGGCTGGATTTTTTTTTGAAAAGAAAATTCTCTTTTTTTTTTTTAGGATGTAAAATCTTACTAATAATTGAGTTCTTCAGAAGAGATCTTGCTAAAATCTCGACGTGTCTTGGTATCACTCGTCTGCGAGACGTGATTTTTTGTTTTCGATTAAATAATATTATGTAGCAACAATTGGCCCTTCTTTCTCAAAGTAAAGAAAGCTTTCCGACCCGCAGCTCAACTGAAAAATTAAAGCGAAAAGGAAAGGGTCGAACGTAGCAATTCAACATATAAATTATCGATAGGCGAAACTGCGGCTTGTTTTCACTTCGTAGAACAACCTATAAAAAAATAATTTCATGAAAACAAATTAAGTGCAACAGAGGAAATTGCACCAACTGAAATAAACAAATCAATTTAATCGAAGAACGAAAAAGCAATGAACACAGGCCCGGCCCGGCCCGGCCCGGACCGGCCCGCAACCAAACAGGAGAAGAGCCCTAACCCCCTTTTTCCTTCTGTCCTCTGTTCTTTTCGGCGGTTTTAAAACGTCGTCAGAGAGAGAGAGGTGTTCGGACAAGCGCGCAGCAGAAGCACGCTTTCGCTCTCTCAAACTTCACACGGTCGCAAGCCGAACCCACAGGGAGAGAGAGAGAGAGAGACGGGCGAAGGGTGTCGCCGGCGAAGATGATTATCCCCGTCCGCTGCTTCACCTGCGGCAAGGTATTGCCGCTGTCCGTGGGACTTCGCGTTCGGTCCTCGTCCGCGAAATCTGTTGCCTTTCTTGTTTTTCGTGGGATGATTTTTTTTGCAAAGTTTTGTGTTTTTGACCGTCTATTTTGTATAGACCTTGAAGGGTTCTGTTGTCTGCTGTGATATGCTGGAGAGGTTATGTGCTTTCTTGTTTTTTGTGGGATGGTTTTACAAAGTTTGTGTTTTTGACGCTCTATTTTGTATAGACCTTTAAGGGTTCTGTTTTCTGCTGTGGTATATGCTCGAGTGGGTTATGCGCTTTCTTGTTTTTGTGGGATGGTTTTGCAAAGTATGTGTTTTTGACGCTCTATAATGTATAGACCTTTAAGGTTTCTGTTATGTTCTGTGATATGCTGGTGAGGTCACGTGCTTTCTTGTTTTTGTGTGATGGTTTTACTAAGTTTGTGTGCTTTCATTTTTTTGTGGGATGGTTTTGCAAAGTTTGTATTTTTGACGCTCTATATTGTATAGACCTTTAAGGGTTCTGTTTTCTGCTGTGATATATGCTCGAGTGGGTTATGTGCTTTCTTGTTTTTGTGGGATGGTTTTGCATAGTTTGGTTTTTGACGCTCTATATTGTATAGACCTTTAAGGTTTCTGTTAGGTGCTGTGATATGCTGGAGAGGTTACGTGCTTTCTTGTTTTTGTGGGATGGTTTTACGAAGTTTGTGTTTTTGACACTCTATTTTGCATAGACCTTGAAGGGTTCTGTTTTCTGCTGTGATATATACTCCAGTGGGTTATGTGCTTATGGTTGCTGCTGGTTTCAGGTGATTGGAAACAAGTGGGACCAGTATCTCGATCTCCTCCAGGCTGATTATCCGGAAGGGTGATGCTCTCATTCAATTTCGTTTTCTTTTGCTACTTTTTTTTATGTTATTGAAGCTAGAAAGTTTCATATTGTTGTGATTATTTGATTTTGATGGTACAATTTGTGAATATGTGATAGGAGAGCTATACATATTTTATATATAGTGAAAGCAGGAGCAGAGGTGATGCTTAGAACTTTTAGGAACTTTCTTCGTTAGGTTCTATGATCTGTCATGAATAAGCATGATGATTTAGTTTCCTTATGGTTGTTTCTTCGACAAGGTCGTCTGGATTTCACAGTGTTTGCCACTAGTTTTAGAACGGTAATAGATATGGTTAAGAGATTGAAGTAAGGAACTTTATTTGGTCAGAATGGCCATTTGTTGTTGGCACTCAGTAAAAATGCAGTTAGAAGTGGTTCAGAGTCCGGAGTGGGTGAGATTTCTCTATTTCTGGTTTCTAGATGTCTTTGCTTCTGTACAGACGGTTTTGTTCCTCGATTACGATACGAGTTTCGAATGCTTGTAGTGAATGCAGCAATAAATTTTGTGATGGATTTTCCAGTCTTGAAAGTTTGGTGTTTTGGCATGCAGAGATGCTCTTGATGCATTGGGATTGGTCCGGTATTGCTGTAGGCGAATGCTGATGACTCATGTTGACCTCATTGAGAAGCTTTTGAACTACAATAGTAATATCTCTCTCTCTCTCTCTCTCTCTCTCTCTCTCTCTCTCTCTCTCTCTCTCTCTCTCAGGCACATGCACACCCTCACACATTTGCATGTGTACAAACATAACTCTCTTGCTCACGCACTACATTCCAGAGGTTATGTGCATGATTTTTTCTGTGTTGCTTCTTAAGATGTTATATCTGTATGTATTTATATGTATCTTTTTCTGATTTGATGCAGCCTTGGAGAAGTCCGAAACCAGTTGACTTGGAATTACCAGTGAAGGATGTTCTGCACCATGTTGCTTTGGTATCTTCTAATTGAGCGATATCTCGACAACTATTCTATGAGGCGCATTAGAACTTTTAGTTGAGATGTAGATGTGGTGTTGACATATTCTGGACTGAGGTTTCATATGGTCTTGTGCTTTCTCCTATTGTTCTTTGAAGTGACACTTGGTGTACCATTTGGGTTATTTCCCTATTGTATAAATCCAGTCGCCCAAAGTATGTCCTCATTTTGATTTTTGTGTGGAAGCTTTAAAGTACCAAGAAGCAGAATATTGAGACACAATTTGTGGAATCAAGCAATCGTCCAAAGATTGCAGTCATTAAGGAGGAAATGAAGCATGCTTTATTATTTTGCTTGTAGTTTCAAGTGACGGTGATAGGTGCGTTATGTGGTGATTGATCTGTTTAGGAGTTTTTTTAAACTTCAGGTTGGAACAATTTGACTTGCAACATGCAAAATCCAAGAAGCTATTCCTTGATTGGAATTTCATGGTATCATTTAACTCTTGTGCCATGAACATCATCATCAACCAATCCATTATTTCTGGACAAAAAAGTTTGTAGTGTTGTGTCTCCTCTTGTAATGTATTTGGAATTTAAAGAAGCCTTTTAGAGAGCACCTTTGCGTGGTTATGTTCTTTGATAGGTGAAATGCCACAGGTTCCAATTTTCACTACCCAATAACTAATTTGGTACTAAAACAAGAAAGAGCCCTTAGACATGATGGATTTTTTAATAATTTTGTTGTTGAGCTTGCCTTTTATATCAGTTAAGCTAAAGTCAAAAGCAAAGCAGCTAAGCCTCTTCCTGCTTCTGAGTTCATTAGAGATAAAGAAGTCCCACTTCTTTCCTCCAATTAGGGGCCACTTGGTAGATAAGCAATTTTTTGGGACGATTTGGCTTGCAAGATCCAAGAAATCATGTGATGTGCTGTTGAATCAGCTGTTTGCTTTGGCTAGAATAGATCCTTACGGATACTGCATTTACATATGTATGACGTGTCACATTGCGCTGGTCGTCTAGTTCCACTAACTATTGTAATTTTGGTTGTGGATTTTTTAGCTTCTTTTGGGATCTGAAACTTGTGGAGAGCTTTTACTTTTTAGTTCTTTTACTCTTTGTCGAGACAGCCAGATGTACAATATTGAGACACCTTATCGACATAATAGCGTATGCATGTAACTGTGCACACTGCCTTTCAGTAATCTATGTCTCCTAGTACTTGGTATTCTCATTTGAAAGATGTCATTTTATGCATGTTTCTTAGAATTGATATTTTTCTGCTGCTTGGAGAGATGGTCTTCTGCCTCTGGTATGTTTTAGCATGTTCACAGTAGCAATCTCTTAGTTAATTGCTATTCTACTAGAATGAGTAGCTTTCATTTTCCCTGTCCAATAGAAGCCAATTGTGCCTATTCTTAGCTTCAAAGTTATCAGGTTCAACCACTTACCAAAGGAGAGTCAGTTGGACTCATGGTCGAGCGGTAGAAAAGAAAAGGAAATAATAATGTAAAGGTTGGGTTTTTTGGGATGGGTTTGTCCATTGGTTGATTTACTTAATCTTGGTGGACTCTGTATTGGATCTGAGGCTGCTGGCTTTGTAATGGCGCGCTTGTTTTTCTTTTATTGAGGTTGTTTTGGTGCTTCTGTTTCTGTGTTCTCTGTGGTTGTGAGATAGTTCGTTGGAAGGAGGTTAAGAGTGTTGTTCACTGAAAGTTTCAGATCGTTGGCGTTCTTTGTTCTTTGTCATTCTTTATAGCATAGCTGCGAATTTATTGCCTATCTAATTTAATCCCATGTTTTAGGATAAGATTTTGTCGTTGTAGCTTGACGTCATTTTTATGTGTTGCAAATGCAGACTAATTCAAAAGTTTGTATTTTTCGTTCCTTTTTATGAAGATTTTCTTGTACAGCAAATAATAGTAGTTTGCATGCATGGTATGTTCCCTGCTGCTATGGTCAATTGATCGTTTGACTAAACTATGCTTGCCTTGTCAAGCTGTTTGCTTTGCAAAGTCCTGCTTCTTCTGCCCTACAGTTTGCGTTTGTTTCTCACTTCTTGATGTTCATACGAGTCTTTATGATTTCCATCTTTCATTATATTCTTTCTTAGCTTGACTTCCAGTGTTTTCTGTCTATAAACTCTGGAGATGCGGGCACTGTGGTTTCTGGTGCTCAAGGAGTCATTCCTAATAATATCAGATAGCCAACTGCCCTTCATAGTTCTTCCGAAATTGAAACGGAATTTAATGCTTGTAGTCCTTTACTATATGGGCTGCAAGTTTGGCTTTTCTGTAACATTTTTCTGCATTAGAAGCAATGTCTCGTGTGCAGATAGAACTCTCTCCTCACGCCCAAGCGCAAACACTCAAACATGCACCCATCTATGCAGGCACACGATTGATATCTTGATATTGAATATACCGCCCTTCCCTTTTTAGCTTCCCCGCGTTTTAATTTTTGCAATTCACCTCCTGAATCTTAGAAATTGGTTAATGTTTTGGACCTCCGACCATGCGGCAGTATGATTTGTCTTATACGGATGTGCACATAAAAAAGGTAAAAGAATAGCTCAGAAATTTTTTGGATTAAGAACATGTGACTATAGTTCCAACAAGAATTTGATAGGAGTCAATGCCAAATGTACATCGGTATATACAGTTGTGAAATACATTTATCAGTAGTCTTTATATTTTTCCTCACATATATAAATAATATACGACCAAGTTGCCTCTCATAGCTATATACATGGTCAGATACGTGAGAAAGGTTGGAGTCAACACGGGGTCACTTTGTCACAAATTTCAGAAAGTCGGGGGGCAAATTGCAAAAATTGAGAGGCAAGATGTAATTCTCCTCTTGGTTGAGTCGCTAATTCACGAGATTAGCCTTGAGGAGAGTATGCACAACGGTCGCCACAGACATTTCAAACGGGACAAAATTTGGTTTCTCGTTGTTGTAGCACCTACGGCTACGAAGGTTGTCTACAGCAACAAACTAGATTTTGTGGCCGGAGGTTGTCTAAAGCCGACGGAAGGCAATTTCATCCCAGTCGGTTGTCTGTGGCGATGGAAATGTTTTCGTTGCCTTAACTTATAGGGACCAAAATGTTCTTCGTCATGAATTTTTGTCATTTTTAATTACTTTCTGATTTTGGTTTTTGATTTCCGATTTCACCTATAAATTTTGTCAAGAGAGAGTGTATTCCTCAAAGGCCTCTCATTTTCTCTCTAAACTTGGCTAGTTGGCCACAGTTAGTTCTCACTTTGCTCTCTAACCTTCACCCTCAGGCTCAAGAAAATTTGGGTAGGGAATTTCCTCCAAAGCCCACGTCCAAGCTCCCCTTCTATTTCTATTCGGTTTTGTATAGTTTTTGTGTCCGGTTTGCTGTCACTTTTGCTCTTCAATGTTCACTTTGAAGCTTAAGAGTATTTTCAGTAGAGAATGGCCAAGAAGTAGGGGTGAGCGGTTTCAGGTTCCTTACAGGTTCCACATGGAACCTGTAACCTACCCTCAGGTACAGATTTCCCATTTTTTGGAACCTAGAACTTACCCGTCGAAACCTGGAACCTAGAATCTACCCTGTCACAGGTTCCAGGGTTTAACAGGTTTTTTTTATTGCATTTTTAGTTAAACAAAACAAAATGAATGAAATAATATTGAACAAACTTGTCATTCATCAAAGAGAATACAAAAAACTAGTTTTCCTGGTATTATGGTTAAAATAAATATAACTGAAATGGGAAGTTATTGCATGAATCAATACTAGGGGTGAGTAGTTTCATGTTCCGTACAGATTCTACTCATGATAATAGGTTCCTCATTTTTTGGAACTTGGAATTTACCCTGTCACGGGTTCGAGGGTCAGTTCCAGAGTCTACTCAGGTTCTATCTGTATTATTAATTGAACAATTACAGTGAATCATCACCTTTAATAACCACCACTTGCTGTTATGATCCACTAACCACAACTTATATTTACACACGAAGAATATAAAATATTAACAAGTCATAAAATGAAAGTTCAGACTAGTGGGTCCAGATCATACACTCATCATCTAATACCATGAAATACCGCAGGATAACGAGAAGACAGGTTTCAGGTTTTAAGTTCCGCCTACCTAGAACCTGAAACTTACCCGTCAAAATAAATTCCTCAATTTTTAAAATCTAAAACTTATCCTGCATACTTTAAAATAAAAAACCTACAAATTCTCATTAATCCGGTTCTCAAATTTCGGGATTCTACTTGGAATCATGTTCACCCCCTGCCAAGAAGAGGCCACCAAAACTCACGCCCAAGCTCCCGTCTGCTCTTGCCAGCTGCTGCAGCTTTTGTGTCCATTTTTCTGACATCATTGTCACATTGGACGACCAGCTCGCGCTTATGCCCGTCGGTATTTCCTTCTTAGTTCCAGCTTGTATCCACCGGTTTTTGGGCTTGAATTGTCACCTCAAATCAGCCCCAATCACACTTCAATCAATCCCGAGTCAATCCAGCAGCTGCAGCCCTCTCCCCTCCACGTTTTCTCTTCACATTTCCAGCTGAAAATCAGCTGAGGTTGTCCTTGGTTGCATGCTGTTCACGCCTGCTCCAACTGCAGATTTTGGACCTATTTGGTGGCTGCGCATGACAACGATTCTGTGCCCGAGAACAGATTCTGCTAAAAAATGATTCTTTTTTATTCCGTGTCCGGAATTGATTCTGAATATTTTAAAGCGTTTATTAACGGCCCAAAATTCCATCCCTGTAATAGAAAAATAACAGAAATGCGTTTGGTAACGCCATAAAATTTCTTTTCATTAATAATATTTTTAAATATTTTAATATTTCTTTCTTTTTTTCTTTTCTTTTTTTTTCCTCCTTGGCCATGGCCTGCTCGCCGGCCATGACCGGTAAAATATTTTTTTATTAATAATATTTTTATTAAAAGTATTTTTTCTTTTTTTTTGCCATGGCCTGGTCGCCGGCCATGACCGTTAAAATATTATTTTTTTTAATAATTTTTTTATTAAAATTTTTTTTTAAAATATATATATATATATTTTTTTTTTTACCATGGCCTGGTTGCCGGCCATGGTCGGTAAAATATTTTTTTTATTAAAAATATACATTTTTATTTTTTTGGGCCATGGCTGGTAAAATAATTTTTTTATTAATAATATTTTTATTAAAAATATATATATATTTTTTGCCATGACCTGGTCGCCGGCCATGG